TTGTTCCTTATGTTCCTAACAGAGCACTTCACTCTCAGTCTGCACCAGGAATTTCAGGATGATGGATGTATGAAGGATCATCTGTAGGTACTGGTAGTAAAGGGAAACCATTCGTGTGCTCTTACTGCCACCTGCTGGACTGAAGATACAGAGCAGTTTCTCTCAGGATGTGCTGTAGCTTTTAGAGAAACAGGAACAGCAGGTTGATAAATTTCACAGGAATTCTCTACTCAGCTAAAACACATCCTGAAGGGGCGACTGGGCCTCCAGTGGGTTAATCGCTCCCTCACTGCAGGCTTCCAGATTGAGAAGTTTAGACCATAGTCATAATATAAGAGTAGTCCCTGCATTGGCTGTCCCGGCGCAGGAAAACGGGCGCCATCTTGGGGAGGTCGACCTGCTACTCCAACCAGCTGGTTTGACCTGCATGTCTGTCAAGTTTTAGACATTAAAAAAATATCTAAAACTTTTAATGAGCCGCTGCTTTGCAACATTCATCCTGTCAGAATAATCTATCTTAACCCCACTGAGAATATTTAAATAAAATGAACCATTTGTTTGTTTTCATGAAAAAATAAAACAGTAAAAATTGGTTCAATATTCAGCGAGTTAAAGTTGATTAAACACTTTACACTGAGTGGAGCTGTTGACCGCCCCAAGATGGCGCCAAAAATCACGTCAGCGCCCATAGCAGAAAGCTGTGGATGCGGATGTCTGTTGTTTAAAGAAAACGTGTTTATGTGTGGTTGGAGGTTCAAATCCTCTCGAATGGCTCCATCCTGACCCTAATGCCCCTTTGCAAATATCTGGAAATCTAAAGGAAAAGGGCTAATGTGGATTTAATGGCTGCTGTGGCTGATGGGTGGCAGCAGGTGGCGCTGCGCTCTAGAAGAACCCTTCAGTCAACAGGAGAAGAAGAACCCCTCCGTCACACAGAAGAAGAAGAAGTGGCCTCCACTGGGTGTTGGTGTTTGTGGACCTGCTGAGGAGAAGATGGGCTTTCTAAAGGAATTCTGACCGAGGTTCTGCTGGTTCCCATGGGTCCACTGGATCCTTCCGAACCGAACCCGTCCGCAGGAGCTATGCTGAGCTAACCGGCTAGCAGGCTAGTTAGCTGCTCAGGTTGGTGCTTCCGCATTTAAAGGCTTTAAAGTCATAGAAATAAGAAGCAAAGCGGAGATGAAGGAGTTTAATTCATAGAGAAATGTCCCCATCATGATTCGGCTCTGAAATAATCCGCCTCTGCTCATTATTCCCACTGAAATTAACTAATTTTAATCCCTGGATGGTGGCTCCATTTTAGGCTCTGTGTTGTTTCTCTCATAAGGAAACTGGAGTTAAACCGTTTTTAGGAGTCTGTAATCCGGATTAACCCGAATGTAAACAGGCCCAACAATAAAGCAGCAAACCGGACTGACTGTTTTATCGGTTTAATCCTGTTTATTCGTTCAGTAGAAACAGCCGGAGTAAAATCAGGCTTTCTGTCTATGGAGTTCTGCTTGGTTCTAACTAAGCTGCTTCTGCAGGATGGCTGTTCCCTTCAGGATCCCCAAGAAGAAACAGGCTGAGGGCTTTGGCTCCGCCCACCATCAGCTGTCACCTCTGGCCCGTCTCCATGGCTCCCAGGTCACTGCGGTAAGACCGATCAGTTTAAGGTGGTATGGCTGAGTAAATAGTTTAATGTTGATTTAAGGTGGTATAGCCTGACGGGCAGAGCAGCGCTTAGCAGCATCGCTTCACTGGTTGCACACGTTCCCAGTCATTCCCAGACGTTCCCAGACGTTCCCAGTCATTCCCAGACGTTCCCAGAGATGGATGAAGCTTCTCTTCCATGGCGTTCCTTTCTGGGTTCTCTGCAGACCCAGTGGGAGCAGGCTTAAGGTGGTATTAATGGCTGATTCTGCTGTGTTCTGGTCAAACAGGGTTTTGGGAGTCCACCCCGAAGAGGCGGAGCTGACAGGATGCATGCTGGGAAAGCAGCGGGTTCCTCGCCAGCTGGATGGAGGTTGGCTGAGGCTCCCCCTTCAGGTCCAGCTTGTTACTGCGTCTGATGTGAAGCTCGCACCGTGACGGTTTCTTCTTCTTCTTGTTGCTCAGAGCGCCATCCAGGCAGCCGTTCAGGAACTACGTCCAAACGCTGCAGGGACTCGACAGCCCCAACCGAGGTGGAGCTTCATCAGCCAATCACGTGTCAGCAGAAGGCAGGAGCAGCCAATGGCAGCAGCGACAGCGAGGAGAGGGCTCCTCTAACGGGTGAGGAGATAAGAGCTTATCGTGGCCGAGCAGAAGCTGCTGCTGGAGCTGCTGGTTGATGTTTTCTCTGATGGATGCTAACGCTCCGTCAGCAGCTCCAGCTTTCCCAGGATTCCCAGCTTTCCCAGCTTTCCCAGGTTTCCCAGGTTTCCCAGGTTTCTCTGAAGAAGGCATCTCTGGATTTAAGGATCATCTGTTCAGATAAAAAGTGAGTCTAATGTGGAGATGTCTGTGGAACAGGAGCAACAGAAACAAGGAGAAGCTAATGATGCTAAAGGCTACTATTGATCAGAGGTTCTAAAGCAGGAGGATAATCGGATCAGAACCAGGGATCAGGACTAAGGGGTAATGATGAAAATGATCCATGTTGGCAGCCGCTCCCTGATTGGTTGAGCCTGGTCGCCGTCCGGGTCACGGAGCGGCGACCGCCCTGACTGCCGGGGATCCCCTGCTCCACCCTGAGCGGTTTCCATAGCAACCCTACTTAGCTGCACCGCCTCTTCAAACGATCTGGTTCTGATGGCCGATCCTGGTTCTGTCGAATCGCTGTTGATTCCCTGTTTGTCCTGCAGGTGGCGCCCTAGCAGAGCGTCTGACCGCCTGCTGCGGCCGGAGGACGTCTCAGAGCTGGATCCCCCACCACAGAAGAAGAAGTCTGCCTGTTCTGGTGAGGCCCGGTTCCATCCGTCCATGAGGGATTGGGTCGGCTCTGCTGACGTGAGGTTCTGGTTCACGCAGGTCGGTCCTGGTCCAGTAACGCCATCAGCGTGGAGTCAGAGGACTGCCTGGCAGAGCTGAGAGCAGAGGAGCATTCTGGGAGCTGGAGTCCTGAGAGGAGGGAGGACGCTGCCCCCATCAGCAAGGTAGGAGAACTGCAGCTGCTCAGCCTCCTGCTGACCCCGCTCCTCCTGCTGACCCCGCTCCT